AAAGCTTCTATCTTGCATAATTGTGGTATGCATGTGACTAAAAGTCCTACATTTGATTTTAGAAGATTCCGCAGGAGAAGTGGTTGGGTGTCGTGTTTTAGAAGATTACATTTTCACCTAACTTACAAGTTACAATTAAGGGGGAGCAAAAAAACCATACTTATAACAAAATCGAACCGTTGGAATATTTCAAATTTTGGTTTGGAGGAAATTTCAATTTTGGTCCTATGACTATATGGGTCTTGTTAATTTCAGTTCATGACTTTTAAAAATGTCAATTTAGTACCTTAACTATGTAAATTTTTTCAATTTTGGTCACTGTGGCCAAATTTTGTCGGGAAATTTTAATTGTTAAAAGAGTTAATACCCAAAATGGTCCCTCGACTATGCTATAATTACCAATTTGACCTCAACTACCATTCTTACCCAATTGAGTCCTCAACTATGTAACTTTTACTCAATTAAGTCATCAACTATACAATTATTACCCAATTTAGTCCTCAACTATATAATTCTTACCCAATTTAGTCCTCTGTATTAATTTGACTGTTTGTTGACTGTCAAAAGTCGGGATAAAATTATAATTTTACAAGATTTCTCCTTCCTCTCCATTTAGCAGCGCCAAACCATGCAGCAATACACTCCGATCAGATTTCGATCGTCAAAAAATCGTTGGAAATCAAATTCATGGGCTATCCGATGCATAACCACTACTTCGATACTGACAGGTTTAGAACCCAACCGGAGCTTATTGCTACATGGTTTGGCGCTGCTAAATGAGGAGGAAGGAGAAAACTTGTAAAATTACAACTTTATTTCCACTTTTGACAGTCAACAAATAGTCAAATTGACAAAGGACTAAATTGGGTAAAAATTGTATAGTTGAGGACTTAATTGGGTAAAAATGATAGTCGATGACCAAATTGGTAATTACGACATAGTCGAGGGACTATTTTGGGTATTAACTCTTGTTAAAATAAGCAAGATATTTTGATCATTTCACGTCTCTTTTCTTCTTCCCAGGCGAGTCTATTCATTCCTCTCCCGTTTTCGACGAATGAAATGAACTAGGATGATGGGGCCGGAAATGAGGCTTGATGATATTAAAGATAGGGTTTACAGGGAGAAAGAATGATGGAAACGGGAGAGATAGGGATGTACTCGCCAGAGAAGAAGAAAAGAGGCATGAAACGACCAAAATACTCTTATTATTTTAATTATTAAAATTTTCCGGTAAAATTTGACCGACAATTTGGCCGGAGTTACCAAAATTGAAAAAAATTACATAGTTAAGGTATTAAATTAACAACTCTGAGAGTCAGAGACTAAAATTAACAAGACCCGTTTAGTCATATGACCAAAATTGACATTTCCTCTTTTTGGTTTGATTTCGGTTATTAATGTCAATGAAAACCGGTAATTTTGAACTTTTTTTTTGGTCGTTATCAATTTTTTAGCGAAAACTGTACAAGTAATTATGAATATAATACTAAAAAATTATGAACATAGAGTTATGAAATTTTGAATATAGAATTCAATAATTGTGAATATGAAGTTAAAAAATTATGAACATAGAGTTTTATAATTGTGAATATAGAGTTCAGTAATTATGAATATAGAATTCTATAATTAAAAATATAGAGTTCAATAATTGTAAATATGAATTTCAAAAATTATAAACATAAAATTTAATAACTATGAACATAGAAATAGTTCCGTAATACTTTTATTAATTCCTCGTTAATTAATACAAACTTTTGTAATTCATTTTGTGTTTCACATATGCCAAACATGAGCCCATTCATCTATATGGATTGGCCCAAATTTAGGGATATTTGTTTCGTTATAGCATTGCTTAATCGGTATGTTTGGGCAAATTTTATTGTGAATGGTTCATGTGACATCCGTCAATTCATGAATATCAGGTACATTTTTAATATATTAAAAATATATTATTTTTGTACTGAAGGTATATTATATAAAATAATGTACCCTTAGTATATTAAAAATGTATCTTACGTACATAAATAATGTACTCTTAATATATTAAAAATGTACTTTTTATGTATGATCCACACAATTGTTTGGACCATGGTTCATGTAATAATGATTGTGTAACATCGTGAATCATGACCAAAACAAAACAAAACAAAAGAAAGAAGATATATGAATAAAGCTAAGGAGGAGGGTTACCTCTTTGGTTCTGACCATAGTCATAGTGGAGGTAGTAAATAGTAATGTCTTATCCTTTGATAGAAACTAGTTCTCTATCAATTAAATGAACGACATGTTAGTTTAATGTTTAACAAATTAGAAAAATGATTATTGAAATATTTAGAAAGTTCTTAATATAAAAAAAAAAAATCTAGTCAAAATTAAACAAGAATAATTAGTTTCATCATGGATCACATTCACCACCTACAATGCATCCATCTCCACTTTAATAAAGTGTCTCACTATATTCAAGCATTTGGAAGTCTACCCTACATCTAGTACTTCAACTTCTTTAGGTATCAATATCTCTATTTCCAATATGTCAATCGCAATGATAAACTCCCCAATCATATTTTATCAACATTCATCGAAAACTCATGCAATTACCACTTGATTCATCGTAACATTTACATTAAGCTTTTGCCACCCTAATGGGGTTTCTCCCACTTGATTGCATGCATGCAAATGTTGTTGTCTCCATCGAAACCTCAATTGTCCCAACTTCTTTGGCCCAAACAAATATTTCACCTTTAATTTAGTGTGTGTGGTAGTCATTAACAAATATTTTGTATGGACTATGCTTAGCATTTAACAAATAATTAACTTACAAGTTGTGAGATTATAGTGATTAAAACTAACATTGAGAATGGTGTACTTAAACTGCTCCAATCGTATTAGTCCTATCAAACATGTATCTCTCTAATTGATATTTGTGGCACTTATTAATTTAAACGTGGTTATTTTATACTTTATTCAAAAGAGTTGTTGGAATAATTAACGGATGACAAATCATGCATGGTTGAATATGAAGAGTTGTTTGAACAATTGACAAATCATAGTTGACTATGACAAATCATAAAATGACGGGTTCATATCATCTGGACTCCAGACCTTATCGGGAGCCATGGAGAACAATGCAGCCTTAACTTCATCTGACTCGACTCAATAGGCTTAAGCAAATGGGTATTACAATCCTCAGTGATACGAGTCTGAACATTTCAAATGGAAATCAGGCCAATTAATTGACAATTATTAGAAAAAAGAAATAGAAATCAATATTAATTCTTTTTATGAAGGAAAAAAAATGAATATATTCAAACGGAAATGAAATATTAGGAAAAGCGAAATGAATATATTAATATTTTACTGAAGATATAACATAGATTTCTCTATGAAAAAATTAGTATCCATCAAATAAAATATTAGGAAAAAAATTATGAAGGAAAGAAGGATGAAAATCATTCAAATCAATATTAATTATTTTTACGAAGGAAAAAGGAAATGAATATATTCAAAAAGAAATAAAATATTAGGAAAAATAAAATGAATATATTACTATTTCACTAAAAATATAACACCTTTTTTATACGGAAAAATTAGTAACCACCAAATGAAATATTAGGAAAAAATTATGAAGGAAAAAAGAATGAAAATCAATATTATTTTTTTTATGACGAAAAAAAGGAAATGAATATATTTAAAAGGAAATGAAATATTGAAAAAAATGAAATGAATATAATAATATTTCACTGGAAATATAACATAGCTTTGTTTACGAAAATATTAGTAACCACCAAATGAAATATTAGAAAAAAAAAATATGAAGGAAAAACGAATGGAAATCAATATTAATTCTTTTTATGAAAGGAAAAAAGAAATGAATATATTAATATTGCTTTATGGAAATATAACTACACAGCTTTCCCTACAAAAAAAAAAAAAAATAGTAACCAACAAATGAAATATTAGAAAAAATTTATGAAGAAAAACGGAATAGCAATCTATACCATAATTAAAAACAAAATTCTATTTACTTGATTTTCCACCCAAACAATAGTAAATAGTAAATGTAAATTAAAAAATGAATGAGAAAAAATAACAGAAATATTTCACAATAATATTCTACATCATCAATTAAAAACGGAATGGAAATTAGGAAAATTGAAAAAAGAAATGAATATTAATAATTGACTGAAAATTAAAAATTAAAAAATAAACAGAAATTAGGTTAATTGGAAAAGGAAATGAATATTAATAATTGACTGAAAATAAATAAAAAAAAAAGATTCATAATTGACTAAAATATAAAAGCAATGATAACATCAAAACACACAAATAATCCAAGCCACATTTTCAATTGCATTATATAATACATAGTATTTTATGTTCTAATTTAAATAATTATATATCGATCCAAATATTCTAAATATATTACAACAAATCCATTCCGTGCATCGCATGTGCGAAAATACTAGTATAGGAAAATAGAACATTGCTTTAATTTTCAGTTCATTCTTACGCCACGAATACTTTAGAATTTAGATGATTTGAACCCCTTCAACAACTTTTCAGCGGATTATTCGAGATATTTTTAAGCGTTTTAATTTTTCTATTCATTCCTACATCATGAATACTTTAGAATTTAGATGATTTGAACCCCTTCAACAACTTTTCAGCGAATTATCGAGATAATTTTGAGCGTTTTAGTTTTTCAATTCATTCTTACATCATGAATACTTTAAAATTTACACGATTTAAACTCTTTCAACAATTTTTTAGCGTATTATTCGAGATATTTTTAAACGTTTTAATTTTCAACGTATACGTTTCATATATATATATATATATATATATATATATATATATATATATATATATATATGAAACGTGAAAACGTTTAATAATATCTTGGATTATATATATATATATATATATATATATATTTTGTTTTAAATTATTTAAGTAACAAAGGTCCAAATAATCAAAGTAGTGTTTTGTTCAACCTAAAGGAGTAAAGGTAGTGTGGAGTCAAACGAGGAAGCGGTCAAACCCCAGAAAACAGTGTCCCCGTCACTTTGTTTTCTCTCTGTCTGCTGTTTGATCTCTTGATCGCTTCTTCGCCTCAGTTTTAATGGACGCTTCGTTCATGTCCAGGCGACACCTGGACACGACGGCACTTGACGCGCACGAACCCTTCAGCCCGACATCCATCACTCCAACCAAGCGCCGCCACCTACCGCCGTTTCACACTCCCACTTCCTCGTCCACACCGCCGCCGCCTTCTTCCGTCACTTTCAGGCCTCCTCCGCCGCCCTCGCCCCTTCTGAAGCTCTCCTCCGGCGAAACCCTATTCCGGATCCTCTGCCCCGCCACCAAAACCGGCCGCGTAATTGGGAAGGGCGGCGCCAATATCCGCCATTTCCGGGAGGAGACCGGCGCCAAGATCCGCATTGATGACTCCGCCCCGGCCTGCGACGAGCGCGTCATCACCATCATTGCCGATTCGACGAGGAGGGATTGCTCCACTGGCTCCGCCCCGAGTCAAAGCAACTCGGATTGTGCTAGCACAACCGCCGAACACCCACCTAGTTCGAGCATCGACGACGAGGCATCGCCCGCTCAGCTGGCACTGGTTAGGGTTTTCGAGAGAATTTGGAAAGTTGACGAGGAGAGGGAGGGTGAAGAAAGGAAGGACGAAGGGAGTAATAGCATTGGAGGAATTCCGCAGGGAATGGTGGTTTGCCGGCTATTAGCCCCGACTTCGTTAGTAGGCTGCGTTCTTGGGAGAGGAGGGAAGATTGTGGAGAGAATAAGAAATGAGACTGGAGCTCAAGTTAGGGTTTTGCCTAAAGATCAAATTCCCCACTGTGCCTCCCAAGGAGATGAGGTGATTCAGGTAATCTGATATTCTTTAGCTCTTCATTTTCTTCTAACAATTTACTTAGTAGTGAATGTATCTCAAGCATGAAACTTTATTATATGATTGTCCAGAAGATGAAAACTAGACCTGGAATATGAAGAAATGAGTTAATTTTTTGTTTTCTTATGCCCCTTTGATTGTAAATATGTTGTGTTAATGTGCAGATAACAGGAAACTTCTCGGCGGTAAGAAGAGCACTGTTGTCTGTTTCAGGCTGTCTTCAAGATAACCCTAGGGCAGAGTTGGCATACTCATCTACTCCCAAATCCTCAGGGTCATCATTCCATGGAAATGGTTTGCCTGGTCCAGACCCTTATTCGCTACCGGGTTATGCAACAGGTCATCAATTTGTGGATCATCATTCCAAGAATTTTCAATATTCTTGTGCTGAGAGTAGTGCTAGTTATGGTATGGTTAAGGAAGAAGAGGTCGTATTTAGGCTTCTATGTAAAGTTGATAAAGTTGGAAGTTTGATCGGGAAAGGCGGCTCTATTATACGGGTGATCGAGAGTGAAACTGGTGCTTCTATTAAAATTGTTGAAGTTGCATCTGATTCGGATGAGAGAGCTGTCATTATATCCTCACGAGAGGTATGTGTTCCAACAGTCTCCAATATCAGAAAAAAATTTATTCCTTTATTTATTGGGAAGGGGTTGTTAACAGGGCATTGACTTTTATTACATTTCTATAATTTGTTGATCCTTGCTCGACAAGTATACTTCTTTTTCGTTAATTCATTTGAGCTGTTATGTAGTGGCGTGTGGAATTTGAAGTGGCATGAGTGTGTTTTTTAAGGAGAATTGCATTTTAGTTCCTAAGTTATTCCACGACAAATATTCATCTTAGTATCTTACCCTTATCCTATTTTTGAAACATATTATTGCCTATGATGCATGGAAACTTATGGAAATTTTATAAAACGCTTTAGAATCGTTTCCTTAATTAAAAATTTTAAAAATACAATTTTCTAAAAAGAACTTGGTAAACAATTAAAATGTATGCATACTTAAAGAAAACTCATATCCTGTGTTTCTTTGTGTTCCATTTCTTTTTTTCGTGCTACCTAACATATTATTGAATCAGCATTAGGGATTATCTTATAAACTTTATCATCTACTCAATAATATATTGTTGAAAGTTGGACATACACTTTTTTTATTTAAACTCTGCTGATCTATCTTGCATTTAGTATTTCTTGAGTGACCTTTTAAATTTCTGCAGAACTCCGAGCAAAGGCATTCTCCAGCACAGGAAGCTGTTATTCGTGTGCATAGTAGAATTGCTGAAATTGGGTTTGAACCAGCTGCAGCAGTTGTGGCTAGACTTCTTGTACATTCAAATCAAATGGGTTATGTGTTCGGGGATGGTGGTATTCCAATTGCCGAATTGAGAAGAGTTACTGGTGCTAGTATACGCATTTTTCCCATGGAACAATCTCCAAGGTTCGGTTCCCAAGGTGATGAAGTTGTACAGGTAATTCTAGATTTTGGCTTTACGCCCTTTTTGCTCCTCCTTGTTTTAATAACAACCGCATTTCTTCATAGTTTACAAAGCTTGATGATGGTTTTATGCATGACTGTTGTCCTGACCAGCTAGTCACCATATCACTATACAATGGACCATTGTGCACCTTGACATAAGGTTCATTTTTAATATACTGGAGGTTCATTTTTAATATATTGAATGTTCATTTTTTGTGTTCTAAAAGTTCATTATTTGGTATACTACCTAAAATTGAACTTTCAATACATTAAAAATGAACATCTATCCATGATCCACATTGCAATGTGGACCATGGTCCACAATTTAATTTGCCTTTGTCACCTATATGTGTTTATTTTCTTCCTTTCCAACAAATAACAATTTGTTGGGAGGAAAAAACCCATTGCCCATATTTAGGAGGGAAAGGGATGGAGAAATGACACTTTATTATGGTTTATATGTACACTTGAGTTTTTCTAGGGGTGTTTGGTTTAAACATGAGAATTTGAATCTAAATTGGAATCAAGTATTCAGTAATTGAAATGGGTTTTAGTAAAAGTAGCATGTATGTTTGGTAGTAAACTTGAATCAAAATTATTACTGAATTTGTTGTTTGAATGTGTACTAACAGTGTCCCTATACTCTGAACAATGGGTTGTGGTTGGGTGAAGAATTTAAAGGAAGGATATTTCCATTAAAAGAAGGGACAATGGCCTAAGCATTAATTTAAGCAACCTTGGGCCATGAATTATTAAAGAGTATGATTGGGTTGCAGAGTTGATGTTAGCATTTTGCGGAACAATTTGAGCTTGCAAATTTATTATCCACGGGTTCAAAATTAGCCGACGTGGGCTGAGATGGATTATTTAAAGAGTGAGGAGTGGAATTTAGCCGGGCCTATAGGAAGAAAGCGTTTTTCATTATTATCTTGCTCGGTTGTTGATCGCTTGGAGCTACCATCCTTCCTAACCATAATTTCCACACCTTGAACCCCATGGACTGAAACCTAGCTACCAACAACCATTTCCCCTTGACTCAAGACTATTGGATCCAATTATGGGCAATGGATTTTTGCAATCTGTGGCACTTCCCCTAGCTACCAACAACCATCAACCTTCTTCTAGAAGTTTATACACGTGTCCTTCTCTGGAAGATTCCAACCCTAGACTTTCCTCCTATATAACCTCCATAGATTGTAACGCATAATCAAGGCCTAATCCCATATCACACTCACCGATCACGGTATTCTCAACATCACTCTCAGAACCACCGTGCTTTGCCATTGTCGACGGCTATCCAACAACGGGATAACCAAAAACAACCTCCTTGGCCATACCATGCTACTCAGCCTCCGCCAAACCACCCTCTCCAGTTGCAACACCACTCCCTACGCCTAGAACATCCTTCCCTGACGAACAACCTTACTTCCCCATTGCCATGGTTTCCTTGTTTGAAGGTATCATTTTACACCATTGTTTCAAGTTTTTTTTTTTTTTTTTTTTGAGGGTATTGTTTAAAGTTAATTAACATTAAATTTTGGATTACAAGGCTTACTTAATTGAATTAAATGCCATTGTAAATTGTGATAATTTCCTTTTTCAAGTTTGACTTAATTAATGAATTATCTTCTCCTTCGCCCACTTCCTCTTCTTTGAAATCTGTCACTTCTACTTTTATTGCTCTTATTGGGTGCTTCCAGTTGGGGATCAGAGTCAGATTTGGGCTACTCTGTCTCTTGAATTTGGGCTAGTACAAAGCTTAGGTTTTCCATTCCACTTCTTGCCCATGGCAGTTCTGAAAGGGTAGGGTTTTCAAAGTAAGGTTTCGAAGAGGAAAAAAAAACTATAACATCGACAATTATAGTGAAGAAGAGGCCAAGAAGGTGTTCTTGAGGAGGAGGAGAAGATCCTTCTTTTAGGCTTGGGGTTCTTCTCAAGGAGGAGAAATAAATCCCTCAAATGAAAGTGGGATCAGTGTCAGGAATTAAAAAGTCGTATATTTGAGGTATTTGATTCTGATTCCAGACACTTAAAATAGAAAACAAACATTGTTTTTTTTACTATTGTTTCAATTCCAGCCTTGAAACTGTCCTACCAAATGGCCTCTTAATCCCATTGCCTGTAACTATTGTTCTTATATTTGATATGTTCACTCATCTGAGTTTTTACACATGAACTGTTAGTGGGTTGTTCTTGATTCTAGATAAGTATTTCATGATTGATTTGTCTTAGTACAGTGCATCAAATGTATTTAGGCTTTAGCCATGCATTTCTTGGTGGAAGATTGATTTGTTTCCTCTACACCTTTACACTATTCTTTTGATTTATGTCTATGCTTCTTGGGAAAGAAGAAATTAGACCTATTCCTCATGTTTGGGGCTGGTGCAGGTTATTGGCAGCTTGCAGTCTGTCCAGGATGTTCTGTTTCAAGTAACTAGTCGACTCCGGGAGACAGTATTCACACTGAGACCAAAATTTCCAACTGCAACCTCTTTGCCACATCGCCCTGAAATGCTGCCACCTGCATATAGGGCTCGGCACGAGCCTGCTTCTCCAGCTTACCACCCTCCACCTAGCATTCCCCGCGGGGTTGACCATGGCTTTGCTCCTCGAAGACCTTTTGAACGAGCATCTGCATTGACGCCGCATGGTTTTGATCATCACTGTCCAACTTACCCGGACTCTGTCCCCAATTTGTATGGCAATGAAAGACGTGGACAGGCTCCCATCTATGATCAACCAATCTCGCCAAGGTGTCCCACTCAGGCTTCTGGTGCACCAGCTGCAGATGTCAATGGAGGTTTTGCACCAAATGATGCTCGTACTAGCAGGTGATCTGTTTCTCCTTCTCGTTGACTTAATTATGTCATCTGAGTTCAGAGAACATTAAAAAGTAAAGCTTTTGTGAACATTAGTTAGTTAATGTAGTTGTATTTACCTTCCTCTCGTTTTGGATTTTTACTATGTTGCAGTGAAGATGCTGTTGTTCAATCACCTGTTGTTGTTGAAGTAATGATCCCTCAGTATTTGTTGAAACATGTTTATGGAGCGGATAATAGCAATCTTGATTTCATAAGACAGGTAAATCAGACAGCCTTGGTTTATATTTCCCGCATGCCTAACATAATCCTTAACCTTGTTGTGTCTGTAATCCAGGCTTCGGGTGCTAAGGTATCTGTTACTGATCCGAGACCCGGTACTACTGAAGGCGTTGTTGTTCTGTCTGGAACGCAAGACCAGACACGCACTGCTCAGAACCTTGTCCATGCTTGCATCCTGTCTGAGCTACCATTCTAGTCTTAGTTGCAAACTGCAGACAAAAGTAAGATGACAGGATGACATCATGCAAATTCCCGCACTTTTTTTCGGGAGAATAGGATGAAAGAGACAATAACTCAAGAATGTGCACCATTTTTTTTTTTCGGGTTTTCCTCATCATAAATAGAAAACAGATCCTGGCATCTTACTTTCATTAAAAAAAAAAAAAAGAAGATGACATGATCTGTTTTCTATTTATGATGAGGAAAACCCAAAAAATAAAAAATAAAAATGGTGCACATTCTTGAGTTATTGTCTCTTTTATCCTATTATCCAGAAAAAAGGTGCGGGAATTTGCATTATATCATATAGATTATGAACTAGTAGAGTAGTTGCTTAGTGGCTAAGCCCACACAATATACAGGATGTTTGTGTTAGTGTGGACTGCAGACAGATGAAACTTGTCAAGTAGAACTATATGGCAATGGTATTGACTCTCAGTTGTAAATATTGAATCTTCTTGGTTTTTAGGGCAATGTTTGGTTTTCTTTCTCTAAATCTTTTGTTTCGTTGATGGGGAATTGGGACGATAAAATTCCAACTCAAGTCTACTATCTGGAAATAGGCATAGTAAAGCCTATTGTTCTTACTTGGATTGATGTACTTAGAATGTTGGTTTGGTAGTTATAAAGTTTTAAGTTTGACTATTTATATAAGTTGTTTATTATTATTATTTAGTTTGATCTGATTAGCTATGAATAATTTAACTTTGTTGTCATTTACTAGCTAAGGTCATAAGGTGAATTTTCTGGGAGCGCACTTTTTGGGTAGCAGTTGTGGCCTTTCTCATAAATTAATTAAAGAATATAGTTTTTACTATAATGTAGGTGACAATCATTATTCCATGGACCTTGGTTTACAAAGCTGTGTGGATCATAAATTAAAAAAAAATACATTATTTGTATACTTGAAAGTATATGTATACTTGAAAGTATATGTTGTATACTAGCAAATAATGTAAATATAGTAGACAAATAATATATTTTTTAAAAAATATACTTTGTATCATGTTTACACAGCAGTATGGACCATGATGTACAAAAAAATTTGCCTGTAAGTGACAAACTAGGAAGTTGGATATACAATTGTTGTACTGTGGATCAAGTCTACATAATAAGGTGGACTATCCACACACACAATATATATATATATATATATATATATATATATATATATATATATATATATATATATATATATATATATATATATATATATACTTTTACTCTATTGATAGGGATTATTCCTCGATAATCGTGCTTGTACGGTGGTTGGTAGCGGACCTTCTGTGCGAGCTAGACTCGATTCGACCCACGCCGACATCGTATTCATATTCTCCAGACTGTCTTGCTTGCCGAGTTTCGTAAAAGGCCGTGTACACAGGCACCTTTAAGATCTGCATTCTGATCCAATCTGCTTTGTGAACAATTGTGATATCTCCCTTGAAAACCTCTTCACTTCTCCACTTCCAAATCCACCAAGTAGCCACCACAACTAAATTATGACCATTTTCCACCTTCATGCTCATCCCTTCACCCGCAACGCATCTGTCAGGGAAAATGACTGTAATGTGACAAAAGTAATCTGTATTTCTAAAATTAGGACGCTTTTGAAAGTTGGACAAAATTAGGAAAAAGACATTTGAGAAATCTGTTTGATATCAGGTCTAGTCAAACACAAATGCAAGTCCCATTTACGTTTGTTTGTTTTTGTTTAATTTTTTTTTTAATTTGGTCGCCGACTTCTCTTGCTTTCTCCTCGCTGGAGAAGCCGACGACACATTGCTGGTTTTTCCAGCGAAGGAGAAGGCGACCAGTGGCATTCTCCTTCACTGGAGAAGCGAGCCTTCTCCTTCACGGGAGAAACCGGTGACCACACTTTGGTTGCTCGCTTCTCCAGCGAGGTGACGCCGGCTGCTCCAACGAAGGAGAAGGCGAGAGATGCCGGCGACCATTTTTTTTTTTAAACAAACGTAAGTGGAACTTGCGTTTGTGTTTGACCAGATTTGACATGAAACACACTTTCCAAATGTCTTTTTCCTAATTTTGTCTAACTTTCAAAAGCGTCCTAATTTTGAAAATACAGATTACTTTCGTTACATTACAATTTTTTTTCCATCTGTGGAGCCACGTAATGAAGTCCAAGCTTCACTCTTTATTGATTACATTCTTCGGGAAAAAGTTGATCTAGACTTCTGTTGCTCTAGGACTTTGCCTAAATGATCCATTGTCTCGGTGATGTTAACCAAACTATATATTTGTGATTTACCAAAGCCTCATGAGACGCATCGCTATTAACCAAGCTATATACTTTAAAATAATTAATAAAACATGGTATATAAATGTGACTTATCAAACGTTATTATTAGTGTGAGAAATAAATTTATATTTGTGCTATAGTCCTATAGATGGAAGATAAGATATATACTTAAGCGTGCATTAAATAAGTGGGGTCAAATGTACATTGACTTTGGTTGGTCGTTTCGTCTCCGGTCCTCCGACCCTCTCTCGTTTATGGCTTTGCTCATACGGATTTCTCAATACTCCAATTTCCTCTTCAATTTTCCGAAGAAGTTTTCCATTGTTTTATGCTCCTAATTTACCGGAACCTGTACAATCATTAAAATGGCCCGGAGTAGATCGTCGTCGAGTAGATGCCGGTATTTCAATCCGGCCTATTATCTGAAACGGCCGAGGCGTATGGCTTTGCTCCTCATTGTCTTCGTTTCTGGAACCTTCATCTTTTGGGATCGGCAAACTTTAATTCGGGAGCACGAGGTAATTTTAGGTCTCTTTTCATTTCTTTTCATTTTCAATTTCGCAATTTCTTTTTAGAGTTTCGTTGATGTTGGAGACGCTTGTATGCTGGTGTCTTTTGCAATTTGTTTGTTTTGGAATAATTTTGTTGAAAGCACAATATTATCAATTTGTTTTCCATTGTTTATTTATAATGTTTTTCTTGTCATTGTAGTTTATTTGATAGAATTTGATTTTTCTCCTTAGTGCACGTTGTGCCATACTAATGTAAGTAATTGACAAGATTTGACGAATTCCTGTGCTTTTATGTGTTTTGTGCTGCACAAAAAGGTAGATTTGTATATATGTATAACTACATTCTGGAAAATGGCTGCTTTGAAGTATGCATTCTAAACATCTGACTATAAAATTCTCTAAACTTTTATGTTAATTGACTTTGTTTTTTTAGTTTTAAGATTATTACACACTTATAGTCCCAATAATTTATGTAACTACTAAATAGCTTTGTCATGATTCACAGGAGGAGATATCTAGGTTGAATGGTGAAGTGAGTCAGTTACAAGATTTGGTAAGAGGTTTAAGTATATTTTCTTGACTTCACATCTAGCTATAAGATTCTAATAAGTCCTCTTATCTTTTCATGATTAATATGATTTGGAGAGATATTCACTTGTCTCTTTCGCCACTCCGTTTCTTGAATAGCTGCATATATATGCCATCCATGACATTTTTCCGGCTTGAAATTTCAGTAGAGTGATAGACTTTTGCCCTCATTTAGAAATCCTGGTTAAGTTTATTTCCTTTTGCTCACAACCATTCACTCCGTTAAATGCTGAACTTTGGTGAATGCTTTGCGAGCAAAATAGCTTGAAGAATTAAAGAGTGGTCGAGTTGTTCCACGTGAAAAGTTTAATTTGGTTGGTGAAACCCGTGGCATGGCTAAGAAAAAAGATGTATTTGAGGACCCGGCTGATGCTCAGCGAAGAGAGAAAGTAAAGGATGCTATGCGCCATGCTTGGAGTTCGTATGAGAAATATGCATGGGGTCATGATGAACTTCAAGTGAGTTTTCTATTTTCATACAGTAATCTCTTCATTAAAATGTTAGATATGTTATGCATGTTTGTTGTTGTTGGGGATATTTCACAATTTTCTATGGAGTGGGGCCTTCTGAAACATTCTGCTTGGTCCTTTTTAGTTGTGGTTTATTATTTGCTTCTGCTTCTATTAGTGTTACATCACTCCATTCAATCTTGGGACTCTGTTTAACTATTGTTCTCAATTTTATGCTTTCCCAGCCACAATCAAAGAATGGGGTTGACAGCTTTGGTGGCCTTGGAGCAACTTTAATAGATGCTCTGGATACACTTTATATCATGGGACTGGATGAAGAATTTCAGAAAGCTAGAGAGTGAGTTTATCTTTCTCTTGTTCTCATCGTTCATTTGTATGCACTGAGATTTCTTTTCATTTTTTTTCTTGATTAACTACTTACGTCGTTGATATTCTCATTTAATTAAGAGAGAAATTGGATTTTGTCATGTCTGTTATTTAATATCTACACTTCCTTTTGTTGTTTCAAGTAAGGACTTTACGTGTTGATAAAATGTTCTATAAACTATAATGATGGACAATTAGTAGTCACTACATGCTTTAGATCTTGAACCAATTTTCTTTAAACATAATATACTTCGTACTTCTGAAGTGGTGATATATTGTCCTTGTGGCAGTGACACAGTGGCATACTGTGATGGTTGATAAGACATCATAGGTTAAATCCTATTCCCTGTAGATATACCCCAAAAATCCCACCTCCTTGTAGCTTACTTTTGTCCTGGCCATTGAAATAATTCTTCCATGAGAAGCAGATAGAAAGCATTAAAATTACCAAATTGCATTTGCTTTGTGAAATTTTAATTTTATTGTGTTAATAACTGGCAAGTTTTGCATATCACAGATGGGTTGCAAACACCTTGGATTTCAACAAGAACTATGATGCTAGTGTTTTCGAGACAACCATAAGGTTTCTTTATAAGGTTTAATTTGCCTTTTTTACGATTTTGTATACTTTTCCTGGTCACTCTAATTGCAAGATCATCTCTGGGATTTCTTCTGCTCTGTGATCATTGTTTTGGTGTGTTTCTACAATCCAGAGTTGTAGGTGGACTTCTTAGTGCATATGATCTCTCTGGGGATAATGTTTTCCTTGAAAAGGCTCAAGATATTGCTGACAGGCTCTTGCCTGCATGGGATACTCCTAGTGGCATCCCTTATAATATAATCAACTTGGCTCATGGCAATCCACATAACCCTGGATGGACAAGGGTAAGTGTGAACTTTACAAGACTGTAGTTGCACATAAAAATACACATTACCCTAAATCCACAGATTGTAATGTATCTGCAATTTTTTAATGCTCTCTGCTATCAGGGTGACAGTATCTTGGCAGATTCTGGCACTGAGCAGCTTGAATTTATTGCTCTTTCTCAAAGGACACTAGACCCAAAGTATCAGCAGAAGGTAATTCCAGTGGACTCTTGAAGTTTCTTCTTCCCTCATCTAAAAATATGAAAAAATTATTATGACCTACACGTGTGTCTATTCAGAGGTAATATTTGAACTTACAGAATCAGAGTTGGCATGAGATCAAAATACCTCTGCTAAATATTTGATATCAATCTTCCGGTGTTGATTAATGGCATGACTTGATAATCTAGGTGGAGAATGTTATTTTAGAGCTTAA